ATGGGCCAATATTATCATAGAATTAACCATCTTGGAAAAGACCTCCGAGATCATCAAGTCCAACCCTTGATCCAACACCACCATGGTTACTAGACCCTGGCACTCAGTGCCACATCCAGTCTCATCTTAAAAACCTCCAGGGACGGAGAATCCACCACCTCCCTGGACAGCCCCTTCCAATGTCTGACTATTCTCTCTGTAAAAAATTTGTTCCTAATATCCAACCTAAACCTCCCCTGGCAAGCTTTTCCCTTCCTCTTCCCCAGTGCTGATCATAACCACACAAGGCACTAGGTAAGACTCCAAGGGAGCATGTCCCAGTTGAAGTGAATCACCACAAGATAAGCAGGGGGAAAAAAAGCTAATAAAAGCACCAGATACCAGCACATTCTCTTGCTTCCAAAACAACACAGATCATCCCTCTAGGAAAAGGGAAAGAGGCAAGCATTGCTCAAGGAATGCACAACTTAGCAAGTGAGTTTAACAAATACCATCATGTTTTGTGTACCAAAGAAATAAAAGCCATTGTTTTTACAGCTATCAATGGAAGTTACTGACTGGTCACAGCAGTGAGGTTCCTACAGCCTCCCTTACTTAACAGATTTATCAGAAGAAGCAGTTGCAAATTCCTTCATTTCAGAGCCCAGCCCCAAACTGGAAACTTCTTGTGACTGTTCCTGAGAGGCAATTAGAACTTTAGGTATTCAGCAAAGTGACCCCCTCCCCTGGGTGCAGTGCTGGATCACCCGCCTGAACACCTGCAGTTCTTATATCCCACTTCACTCTGCTTTGCATGTTTATACCAAATAAAAGAAACCTCCAAGCTCTTCCTCCAGCCACAGCTGCAACTTCCCAAGCCTGATAGAGTTCAAGAAGCATTTGGATGATACTCTCAGGCACGTGGTGTGACTTGGGGATGGTCCTGCGCAGGGCTAAGAGTTGGACTCGATGATCCTTGTAGGTCTCTTCCAACTCAGTGTATTCTGTGAGATTCCATGTGATTCCCTGTGCCCCCACACTGTCCCACCTGCTTGATTGTTGCTCCCCTCTCCTGCGCTGCCCCTCGATACAGGGCTCCACCTTCCCTGAGCAAGGCTCCATCTCCAGGTGCATCCAGATGCTCCCCCAGTCCCAGTGAGATGCTCTCACCATCGTTTCTTGAGAGATGCCCTGGAATCGCCCCATCAGCCGCTCCCCTCCGGCAACTCCGTGCAAAAGGTGCACCCAGATGACTCCCGAGATCTGCCCCCAGAAGGGCCCGCCTGTCCTTATCCTCACTGTTCACACCTGGGGCTGCCCTGGCCCCTTCTCACCGTCACTGTTCACACCTGGGGCAGGTGCGCTAAAGGGGCAGAGCCCGCGGGCCGTGGGGATCTGTCGGGAAAGGCACCCCTTGCCCCTTCCCTGCTCCCCTCCAACCTCGCTGCAGCCGTGGCAGCGCCCCGCTCCTCCCGCGGCTCCCTGCCCGCCACAGCCGGTGCGTGAAGGCAGCGGGCCGACAGCAGAGCTTCCCTCCCGGGCGGCAAGCCCCGCTGTGCGGCACCCACAGCTCCACAGCTCGGTCACCGGGACAGCGCGGCCCTGCTCCTGGGGCAGAGCCGGCTGAGCCCTCCGAGCAGGGCCGCGACCCCTCCGCGAACCTGCCGGGCCTTGGCACTGCGCCGGGACCTGCATGAACCACGGGTGGTTCCGAACAGAGAGGGTGACGGCATGAACTGCGCTGCCGGAGCGAGGGTGCACCTGCTCTGTCACGGCATTAGAGCACGATAGGGACACCATTAGCAAGGTATTTTCACTGAGATTCTGCTCGACGTTTCTTCATACATTTTGCTTTCTGCACTCTATGCCAACATCACATTCAAGTATCTGATTATAAACGTTGCCATTCCAAAGAAACCACTATGAAATCTATCAATAAATTAAATCCCTGTTTAAGCCTTTTACAACAGAACTGCTTCAGTTGCCCCAGCTTTTGGAAAACTTTTATGTTAAAATTTAAAACATCTAGAGAAGTCTAAAAAAATACATAGCTGCACAACAACTTTAAAGGAAAGAAGTCAAGTGAAGGAATTTATCATGTACTTCATTCCATTTATACAAATAAAGAACTGTGATTCTTAAAGCATGAAAATAGATGTGAACTATTAGCAATAAACAAAGACATCTCTGAGAATTCATCTTTTAACAGAAAGTACTTATATTTTTAAAACAATGCTGCAAGCAGCACAGTTCAGCTGTGTATTTGCAACCTGACAAGTATCTTGCCTTTTTTTTTTTTTGAGGCATAAGAAACTCAGGGAAAAAAACTCCTTCCATTAATGGAAAAACAGTAAACAGAAAATTAGTTAAAGTCATCAATCAAGGATTTTCCAATTACTATATGCTGCACAGTAGAATCTCTTTAAGAACCATGAGCATGGGACCAGAGATGCCACCAGGCCCCACAGGAACAGGGCGCATTGCTCAATCCCTGCAGTGCATCATCCCTTCCTGCCCTGGGCTCCCAGGTGCAAAGGGAGGGCAAAGGCAACAGTGAGTGTTTCTTCAGTCACACACGTAACCAGTTCCTGCACAAGTCTGCTCTGTCCCTTGGTGCCCCCAGTGCTGCCCCTGCCCCTGGGACACCTCGGCAGTCACTCCTGGAGGTCGCTCCTCAGTCCAGCAGGGAACTGCTGGGTGGTCAGCCCCTGGTTGGGCCACGGGCTGCTGGGCAGAGGTGGAGGCTGTCAAAAGTGCAGAACAGGGGGCAGGATGAGAGAACTGAAAAGTGGCGGCCAGCTGGACCATGCGGGGATAGTGAGAAAGCACAAGGCAGGGAATGAGACAGCAAGGGAAAGACAGAAAAGACAGGGACAAGAGAAAGGATAGACAAACAACAAGAGGGGACAAAAAAAAAAGAGAACAGGACAGAGATACAGCACTATAGAATCATCTTGTAAAAGAACTTGGAGATAATCAAAGTCCAACATTTAGGCCAGCACTGCCAAGTCCACCACTAAACCATGTCACTTGAAGGCACCAACACCTGCCCGTTGGGGAATTGTACCTGGAAGCACAGGAGGGAGAGGAGGAGAGGCAGAAAGATGGAGTGGGAGCAGGACAGAGATAGGAAAATAAGGATAGGGTGCAGGATGAAAATGAAATGGGATGGGCAGCATGACAGAGAGGGATTAAAAAATAACAGGGGCAGGGAAAAGAACAGAAGGATACAATGAGAAACAATGGCACAGGGAGCAGGACAGAGCAAGAGAGAATAAAAAAAGAAGAGGAGGAATGAAAGAGGCACGGAGAAGGACAGATAAAAGGACAGAGCAACAGGGAAAGAGTATCAGAGAGCAGGACACTGGGTCAGAATGAGAAAAAGAAGGGCAGGGAGCAAGACAGGGTGGTGAACACACAAGAAGGACAGAGGGATACAAAGAGGGAAACAACACATAGAAAATCACCGTGGATGGAGAGTGTGGGGGAAGACAGGGGCAAGGAGCAGAAAGGGATAGAAAAAGGGAGGGATGGGCAGCAAGACAGAGGGTTATAAAAAGAAAAGTTGAACATGGGAGAAGGACTGATGAGCAGAGACAGAAAGGTATTGGGACAAAGATGGAGAAGGTACAAACAGCAATGAGCTGGAGGAGCTGCTTCTGATAACCTGTTACTCTTGATGTCACTTCCGTGGCTTCAAAAATGGGACATGGCACAAGAAAGAGGAAAGGGTGAGTGAAAGAAAAGGTACAGGGAATTTTAAAAAAAAAACCTCAAAGCCAAAACAACAACAACAACAACAACAAAACAAAAAACAAACCAAAAAAAACCGAGAGCAAAGGAATGATGCGGAATGGAATGGGGAGCAGACAGAATAAGAAAGGGACACGAGACAAAGAGACAGACACCTAACAGAGAAGGGGGAAAAAGGGATGGAAAACAGGCTATAAGGATGAAAGAAAAACAGGAACAAACTCCAGTATTTATTACATAATGTGGCTAAATAAAATGTAAACAGTCTACCAGCTTGAACAGAACTGCTCACCAAAACGGCTTAGCCTGTGACTCATTAATTGAGCAGCTGCTTCTTGGCAGGGTATGCAGGGCTATAAAACCTATGACAAAACATGCAGGGAGACACATGCTTACAGGAGTAAGCTAAATGGATTATCTGTACAAGATACTGCTGGGTCTCAATCCAAGCTTGTACAGTCAATTAATACTCTGATCTCTGAATTTCATTTCTGCAAATTCCACATTTTTCCATGCTCCTCCACTAAAAACACATAAACTCTATTATCTAGTGTTAGATATAGGGTTGTTTGAAGACATTGTAATGTCGTGGTTTAGGAATAGAACCATGCACCCACTCACTCACTCTGGCACAAAAGGTAAAGATCATGGGCTAAGAACAATTTACTGGAAACAGCAGTGACATAAGAAAACAAACAGCAACAATATTAATGACAAAAGTGAACAAGAAAGAGGAGAATGGTTCACATGTAAATGCTCACCAAAGAGCCTGACCTCACCCAACCATAAGGAACCCCCGAATCCCTTCCCTGTTCTGGCTATGCCCCTCCTGGCTACTACAAACACTAACATATGTCCTGGCTGGAAGCAGGACATATGAACATAAGAGACTTCTCTTTAGGAGGTTCTTCGGAAAACCTGCATTGACCTTGAAATTGAGCAAGGGGACTATGAGAAAACAAGAAACTTTTACCACAGGTTACTTTGCAGACAGAGCAAGCCAAGGTACATGTGGGCACCCAGGACACAGAACTGTCTTGGATTTGGTCCTCAGTGAGAAAAACCCTTGACTGCCTTGCTTGTATGGCTTTTCCAACTCAACAGTGAACAGTTCAATCCTGTGCCATGAAGAGAGGAAAGACTTTTTTCCAGGTATCTTGGGTATTGTACAGCATTTTCACTGCTCATGAATAAATGCATTGAAAGAGTTTTTACTATGACTGATCTCAGGTATTTTGGTTTGAAAGAAAACCAAGAAAACGACCATACAGAAGGTAATTCCATTTTAATAGTCTCTGAATTTCAAATATTTGAAAGGAAAAATAATAGAGTAAGTGTGATAGTATACAGCCATTACCTATAGAAGCAGTGTTAGTCAGCTTCTCAACACTGCTTTTTGGTATTTCAAGGGAAAAACATTCAGCCTGAAATTTCTCATCCATAAGTTCTTGGAGGTTAGGGGGGACAGACCTGACACTTAGTAAGTTGCCTGAGAATCACAGCTTACAGTTACTCAATGTCTTCTGGCCTCACTGGATGAGGCAGAGGTATAACTGATTTCTTCTCTGTATCTCTGGAAAGAGCCTTCCTCATATCTGTGGCAAAAGGAAAAAATGCTGTTATAGTTACAGTGGTCATTGTACAAAGCCATATGAAGTGAATTCTCTACTAAAATAAGATCATTTTTAATCAAGAAAATTTCCTAGAATCATAGAATACGTCAAGTTGGAAGGCACCCATAATGATCCAACTCCCTGCTTCACACAGGACTACCTAGAACTAAACCATACGGTTAAGAGCAATGTCCAGACTCCTCCTGAACTTTGATGGGCTTGGTGTTGTGACCATTTCCCTGGAGAGCCTGTTATAGTTACCAACCACCCTCTCAGTGAAGAGCCTTTTCCTGACATCCAGTCTGAACCTTCCCTGACTCAGCTTCGCTCCATCTCCTCATGCCCTATCGCTGGTCACCAGAGAGAGTGGTGCCCAGTTGAGGAAGGTTTAGACTGTGATGGGGGGCACACCCCAGCCTTTTCTTCTTCAAGCAGAACAAACCCATGGACATTAGCTGCTCCTCCTAAGCCCTGCCCTTGAGACCTTTCACCATCTTGGCTGCTCTCCTCTAGACACACTCTAATAATGTAATATTCTTAATGTTGTTCAGCAGCAACGTTATCAACTGAAATATAACACTGCATGAAACTTGACTGAACGGAAAGGAAGTGGCAGGCTAAAGGGACAAATATGTGACTTAAGGCACCTGCAACAACAGTAGATGGCTGTCAGTAGCCTTTACATTTCATAGTGATCCTACATATTGAATGAATAGTGTGAGAATAGAAATGATACACAGCATGGCCACATAACCCTTTGGGAGGATACTTAACAGAAAAAGAGATCTAGAAAGAGGAAGCACTTTTGTTAACAGAATCAACACTAACATAGTTGAATTTCCATATTCCTTCCCTTTTACACTGAAAACGTCACCCAATCCTCTGCCACTGTGGGCCACTGACACTTGTAAATTTGTAGTTAGACATCTGAGAAAAACCAAGTTTCAAGTTCCAGTTATGGGAAGAAAGGAAGAAAGCACTTCCATTCCTTTTCATTTTTTATTCTTATTTTGTGGTTTATTTTGCCAGAGATGCAACAAAATGTGTAAACTGCAAGATTAGGTTTTGTAACTGATGTAATTTTCAGCAGGAAAAGTTATCTAAAGGAGGATACAAAATCCCATTCATCAACAACTATCTGAAATTGTTTCATATGCAAAAAAAAAAAAAAAAGTCTTACAAACAAGCCCAGGAACCCTCACGTAAGAATCATTCCATTCAGTTTGAGGCAGAATAAATACTACTTACCATAAGCATCTTCATCTGGCTCCCCACTGCTGGCAGAGTAGTACTCTAACACTGTCCGGTACACACTGTAGCCTAGTTGCTTATACATATTTACAGCAACCTGATTTGATACTCTCACAAAGAGATCAACAAAAAATCCACCCTTTCTTTTGGGGGCGGGGGGGAGGAAAAAACAAAAAAGGAAAAACACATTAGGGAACAGCAGGTGAATGTATTTCTAAGTAAAAACCTGTGGGTAATAACAGTAATAACTGTAATCATATCAAAGCAAGTCTGATGTAGTACACTAATCAAACATCTTTCACACTGTAATAACAGATGCACTCCTTTACCAAGGAAAAATTCAAGCATAGGCACAGGTTTAATTTTATTTTTGTCACACAGCCCTTCTACACCAGCCAGTGCATTCGGAAATCTGAACAGAAAGAAGAGGACAAGCTAAACACCCACACAAGCCTCACATCCATGTGACATGATTTAAAAAAAAAAAAAAATCCACATTTTAGATTGCATTGGATTAGGAGGGGTGGAGTAAGTCACAAAAATTCACTTGCCTAATTGGGGATAGCCCTTTACCTCACAAGGCAGATTTTTCATAATATTGTACTATTTTCTGTTTTTACCAAGTGGAGTTACCCTACCAGAATGAGTTAAGGACATTTCACTGTGGGTTCATTTGACAATATACTAACTTTTCATAGGTACCAAGTAACCAAGAAGATGGAAAGTAAGCCAAAAAAATTTTGTTGGCGGTACAAAATTTGTTCAAGATCGTGCCTGAATGCATTGCACAAAGCCCACAGTTACTGAACAAGTATGTTGGAGGCCCTACTGCTGATGTTTCACAAAGCTCTTTTCCTGTCAAGAAAAGAGTCTTTTGTACAGTATCTCTAATGGAGTTCAGGCTATGTCCTACTCATTCTGGCTCAAAGAGATCATGAGATTGTAAACCTCTAAGTAACTTTCATAATTCTTGTTCTCCAACTATGAGGAATTTCAGAAAATCAGAACACTGCTTACAGCAAAATTCTGTGTCCATTTCATGCACATCAATCTGAACCAGACACAGGTGTCTGTAGAAATATTACTTTTGAAGATAAGTTTAAAGATAGGCATATTACTCACTTTTCTGAAATTTCTTCCAATAGCTCCATCAATTTAGCAGCCAAACCCAGCCGTCGAAATTCTGGTGCAACAGAGAGAGCGGTGACATGTCCGTGCCATTCTTCCCTAGCCACAGAGCCCTCCGCTTTCCCCATGACTGTGAACATACAGAGCATCAGCACCTTTGGAGTAACGCACCGCCTGCAACCACACAACTTCACAAGAGGAGTAAGACGTGTATAAACAAACATTGCAATGGCTGTGGTAAAGGCCCAAACAGGGATGTCTACCTTATCACTCTATGATTCAGCAACTATGGAGAATGTCATTTTGCACAAGTATTACAGCAATTTCTTGACCAGTGTAAATAAAAATAACCTCGCAAATTCCTTGCTTGAGGTGTGACTTCTAAATGCGAATTTTAAGCAATTCTCGTGAGTCTTTCACTGAACAGAATTTAGGATCTGACTAAAGTAACAGAGGAACAGAGGGCTAGAAGCTCAAAACTACCATCCCAGCAACGATTTGAGGCTTTTGGAGATGGGGGGGGGAAATTAAGCTCAGGAAGTTTTGCCAATCTGTCAATAGAAAGCTAAGGCCCTGAAAACACAGTATGTGTAAGGGTAAAAAACGGGGCGGAGGGGGAGGCAGGGATGTTGTTTTAGGGTGCTTCTTTCTAGTTTCTCTCCTTTCTACACAAGGCCAAAACAGCGTTAGTTCATTAATGAACATTAACACTTCCACACAATGCTCTTACAGATATCAGTCACTGCTAATAAGCAACCATAGTGGTGGGTACAGAGAAATGTTCTGTACAGGTCATACTTTAAGCTTCACTGTGTTAAATACTTTATTTCCTGGGTTCCTACAAAGGCCTGCCCCCTGTCCCATCCCCCCTTGGCAGTTCTCTCTGGCATGATTTCTGAAAAACACAAATATTCCCCAGCAAATGAGCAAAGACATCCAGACCCAGAGTTTTCCCTTACAGGACAATGCAAAACCCAAGCCCATCGCTTTTACTGACGGTGTGTGATCAGAGCTGAGCACAGCGACTTGGATTCCAGGATTAGAGAAACACCTATTTGCCTGTCCCAAACCCGGGTGGACGTTACCACAGCCAAGGCTCCTCGCTGCACTAGGAACATCAAACTGGAAGCTGCTGCCTTGAGTCCTACGTAATACACTTAGAAGTTTATGAGACGGGAAGATTCAACGCAACCTTCCTTCCCTGGTGGGTGGAAAACGCGAAGAGGAGGAAGAGCTCCCGCGTTAAAATGCCCCAAATAGGCAACGAAGGGAGACGTTACCGCCGGAACACCCGGCACTCACTGTAACCCATCAGCTCCCCGCCGGGCGCCTCGGCGACGATGAAGTACTCGGGCCAGTGGGCGAGGTACTGCAGGTAGAAGGGGATCCCGTACTGGGCGCTCGGTTAAGGAGCAACAGCGGCCGCCCCGGCTGCGCCGCCCGCGCCCGGCCCCGCGCCCCCGCCCCGGCGGGAAGGATACGGTCTCGGTCAGCGGGTCCAGGTTGCTGCGGGGGAGAGAGAGCGGCGCTCAGCGCGGGCCCCGCCCGGGCCCGGCCGCCCGTCGGGGAGCCCCGAGCACGTCGGGGGAAGGGGAAGCGCGCAGGGGCTCGGGGGAGGGACAGGGAGAGCGGGGCCGGGCGGCGCTCACATGTTGTTGAATCGGAAGAGATCGTCGCAGGTGAAGGCGCGGAGCGTCGTCATGGTGGCGGTCGTAGCGACGATGCTGCCGCTGCCCCGGAACCTCTGCCGAGCCCCAGCGCCACTTCCGCCACCGAGAGGCGGCCGCGGGAGTGTCCCCGCCCCGCAGAACCGCCCCGCTCCCGGCCCGGCCCCGCCACCGCCCGGCCCCGCCCCGCAGAACCGCCCCGCTCCCGGCACGGCCCCGCTCCCGGCCCAACTCGGGCATGAACCCCCAGAACTGTTCTTTCTGGTGTTGTGCTGGCTGATCCCAACGAGGAGACGTGCAGCCCGTGCACTCTGTGGCTGAAACATTTATCGCTTGCCAACTGGTTCCTCTTGTTAAAGAGACCTGAACAAAAAAGTACTTTTTTCTGCCATGATCCTCACTGGGGTAGACAACAAATATGGTATTACTGATGGGTATGAGTAATATAATTGGCAACATTTAAGGTCTGAAGGGAGGGGAATTGTAAATAATAGCTTAAATCAATTAAAAAATCCTCTTAGGTGAAAAAACCACATCGTGCCTACTACAAATTATTCTGTTGCACTGGTATGTTTACGAAGATAGATACATAAAAAGGAAATAAAACTATAAATAAAAATATATTTCTTGTTAATAATTAGATATTGCACTGTTTTCTATTACCCACTTTATAGTTATATGCATAATAAATTATGTATACACACACACATACGCACACACACAGAAATACGTAAGACCTCTTGGGCAAAGTTGGTTAGAAAGGAGTGAGAAAAGATAAACTCCTTCAAGCTGGAATACATAGTTATAGTCACACAATGAAGTGCTAAGAAAAAAAATCAAGGAAGAATGATATTCAACTTTTTATTGATTTCCTGTTACTCACTTTCTAAACAAAAACTGATCAACAATGTCAATACCACAGTAATTTGCTGTTACTGTGTTACAAAAATGCTCTGGTTACCCAATTCTGGAGGGGTAGCAGACCTGCACTGCCTATATTACGTTAGATTACACACAATGACTCATAGAGTTAGAACCCTCCTTGACTAGGGAACAACAGGATTTCTGGATGCATGTTCCACAGTGCAAGTAGAGCTTGCCTGTGCAAGACAAGTAGACCATCTGTTTCAAAGTGCTTTTTCTTAAGCGAGACCTTTTGTATCAGATGAAAAAACTGTAGTAACAGATATATCACCTACAAAACACTACATATTATATAACATTTTTTGTCTCTAAAATAACTAAAATGATATCATTTACTGTCAAAAAGAACTGTGCTCCTCATAGAAGTAAACACTTTTATTCCAAATATGTTTGGGGAAAAAACTCACAAAGGATATGGTCTTCCACTAGTGAGTTTAACTTAGACTAAGCATGAAAAATTTAAAACCATGTGAAAAGAAGTGTTTTCTAATACTATGGGGGAAAAAACAGAATCATCTTGCAGTTGTAAAAATTAGAGGAACAGCCTTTGTTACACATTACTGTTCCTCATCATTTTCTCCAGGTGCAGGACAACTGGCTTCATACTTTTTCTTCAGGCCTTTTAAATATATACGCAAACTGTCAGGGTCCAGTCGAGAGTTTCTGGCAGTCTGAACCAATCTCATTGCTAAATGGTATACAGCTCTCTGTTTCATCATCTCAGGAGTGCTCTTCTGCCTGTGCTGTTCTTAAAAATATACATGCATTAAAATATGAAATAAATCATGTTGTATTATTCAAATACTAATATTAAATATTTTCCAGCCTATTTTAGATCTCCCAATTCTTGGTTTGCATATGAACGTTGCATCCAATACAGCTTTACCCTGAGGGCTGTCATCTGCTGTCACCCAGCAGTGACCTTCAGTATGACCTTTTATAACTGGTTCCAGAAATACAAATTTTAGTGAAATCTATTTTCATTAAACTGTAGGCAGTGCTTATCCTGCATCCTTTCAGAAACTGAAAATATATTTGAGTTTCATAAAAACTGTGAATTACAGCATTGTAATTTTCTACTACATACCAAAATTTGTTTTGCGATATGACTCGTGATTTCCTTTGCATCCAAAATTACAGATGATGGTAGGGAGGAAACTTCTGCAGCTTTTAATCCTAAACATATAAAACATGAATCAGGATTTTTGATGTAATTTTTATTCCTACCTTCCACATTATGTCTTCCAGGATTAACTTAGCCTATTTTTTTAAAGGGTGAAGATATAAATTTGATTAAAATAATTTTTGGTACATTTTCTCTTAGTATCCTTTTTTTCTGTTGTTGTTAGTAACAATATGGTTTTGAGAGCTACAAAATAAAATATCTATTTTGTTGTAAGTCTACATGAAGTATTTTAGAGGAAAAATAATGGCACGGTGGTGTTAACAGCTTTCTCAGTTTAGTTTTTTAATTTGGCAGGCCAGAAGATACTGAGGTTGTGCTAAATGCACCTTCCCCATTAAATCCAGACATCCAGTGGATATGGATGGCATGTTCCAACTTTTACTTTGTCGTCAATAGCCAAACTTACAGATACTCAGGGTAAGAGATGTAAAGTATTTTTTTGTGTCCTAACATGGTTTTTTAATTTTTTCCTTTGCCTGTGCCCCTGGATGTTCTGAGGAAGGTCTGTGGCTCGTTGGGTGCTTTAATACTGTAGGGTTAAAAACGAAAAAGGGTCATGAAGAGCCCTTGCACTCTTTCTTAGAATGCAACTTTGTTCAAGTAAGGTAAAGCCAAGACACCAACACAGAGCTTCTAAAGGTCTCCTGTGAGAATACTCTCCAAACACACAATTCTTCTGAGTTAGTGATGGTGTAGCATCTAAAATTGATCTTGTGCTGCCAAAGGTAAACAAACTTATTCTGAAATTACAATTAAGAAATGGTTTAAGTCCAGCTAATTGAAGCATGACTGCAATAATGACTAGTCTTCTGTTACCACTAGCTTGCAAAAGTCATGTGTAGCTAATTTCCTATTGATTAAATGTTACCTAAATCAAGGATTCCACATCAGAATCTAGTATTTGGAAACATACAGATTTCTGTAAATCTTTAAAACATGTAGCTATTCCTTACTGTCACTCATTCCTTTACTGACCCATAATCCAATAATGCCTCAACTCATTCCAACAGACATGAATCAAGTAGCTACTGACATTAGTAAAATGTTTTTTTCACTATGAAGTTATTTGTAAAGTCTTCATACTTCCCAAAACTACTCTCTTACTACATAGTTACTTAGAACACACAAGTATTTGGAACACATTATAGATCTGCACATCTCTGTATCTCTCTTTGATACAGAGAGATACAAACTCAGCAGAAACTGTCATCAGGAAAATACTCTTCCATGCCACATAAATGAAACAGTGTTCCACAGCAGAATCCATTACCATAGTTCTTTTCCTCTGTGTATCCTTTAGAAAGTGTGTAAGTGTAAGCAATTTTCTCCTTATTCCCAGCACTGCTTCTCACATGTTGCACTTCAAAATGGTAATTTTCCACATTGGGATATAAAGCATCCATATGACACAGTTCCAGGAAATGCGTAGCAAACAGTGTAAATGCCTAAATAAGGAAACAAGAAAGAAAATTTATTTTGGAAATGATCCTGAAATAAATTACAATAAATAAGAAAAATTAAACTATCTCACAGATGTCCAGGTCTTCCTCCAAAACACTGAAAAGCTGTATTCAAATTATTAAAGCAAATTAAAATCTTTAAGTGGTGAGTTCTACCATTGGCAAGTATATCTTTTCTGACTGGGGATTCTCTCACTCCTTTCTCAATAGGAGAAAAAACATCAGAAGCAAAAAGAAATCCATTATGCTTACAAAATCTGACTAGTGTTAATTTGAATGGTTGCTTAATACTCTCAAGGAGTGCTTTATCAACAATACAAGTGAGAGAAAATATCTGAGCTTTTCAAACCAAAAAAACCACAAAAGCACTCTGAATAAACTCTGGGGAGAAACAAACACCTGCACACTTACTTCAAAAAGCTAACAACAACCTGAGCTGGATCACTAAACTAGTAACAGAGGTGAAATTTTCAATGCATCTAAAACCATATTCCCCTTTTCTAAAGCCTTTAACCTCTGTGACCAATTCAGAAATTGAGTACTTTGAAAGGTAACCATCAGGTAAAGAGGTTCACCTTTAACACTGAAGTAAAAAGCTGTACTAAACAAAACCAAAGGGACTGGGTTATTCTCTTTCTTGACAGAAATACAAGCTTGCCAGCAAGATGGAAAGATATGGTGACACAGTGTACTGGTTTTGGGTGGACTAGTGTTAGTTTTCTTCATAGAAACTTGTGCTGTGCTGTGTTTTGGAACAAGACAGTGCTGGTAACACAGCCACGTTTTAGCTCCTGCTGAGCAGCACTTGCACAGCACTGAGGGCTGTTCTGCTCCTCACCTGCCCTGCCAGAGAGCCGGAGCTGGGAGGAGACACAGCCAGGATGGCCCAGCTGACCCCAGGGCCATCTCACAGCATCCAACACTGCAATATAAACTGCAAAGGAGGAGGAGAAGGGACGGACATTCAGGGATATGGTAACAGTCATGTGTAATGAAGCCCTGCTTTGCTGGAAATGGCTGAGCACCTGCCTGCCAAT